AGGCCTTCCTTATTTTAGGAGGTGTTGGAATAAACCGGCCTTTTTCCCCTCCCAATTCAACACTATCTGCTGGGAACCGTGTCTAATGTTATTTTTCAAAATACTATGCTATTAAGATTAAACACATAAGTAGTGTAGAACAGCTCAGTTAGAAAACACAGCTTGATCCAAAATTTAGTGCCCTTCCAAAATAAGCTCAACAAAAATATAATACATTTAAATGTTTGTCATATTGCATGAAAAAGTGAATATTTTAAATTGCAATTCCTGAAGGCATTGTATGGATGGTTGAGCGTGTAAAGCTGAGTGCAGATGGCGCTCATCGTAACACTTCCGAGCTACTACTTTCGACTGATTTTGCCACCTAAGCATACAATTTCATTATACTTGTAGTGTTTTCAATATAAGGCTTTCTTTCAATCTAACTTTGAACGAAACAAACAACAAATGTATCTCCGCAAGTTTGCTTACCCAAAATATGCGTTCTTTTGCACAAATAATATAGGGATAACACTCAAAACAGGGCAAACTATATCTATTAGTTTTGTTAAATTTGTTTAAGGCTCACTACCTGTTGGAAGTTCCAGAAAACTCTTATGAATGGTAAAATTTTGCGTAAATTTAAACACAAATACCAATGATAAAACTTCCAAGAATATTAAGTCTGTTCACACATCGCCTCGTAAGCTTAACATAAGCGGAGGGATACACCGGAAGTCTTCTAAATTTCTTCCGGTGTTAGGAAGCTTCTTATTGTTTACATTCAGTCAACCATCCATAAAGGAAAATTAACAAAAACACCCACAATCTCATAGTTAGCTATTATCACCTTTGTAAAAAATCTTTTGTAACCAAATTTATAGTATATTATTAAAATTGTTTTATTATGGATGAAGAACTGTTTAAAGTTAAACACATGTGGTGCTAGGGGTTGATATTCGTCATAAAGCTTTCGGGTTATTACTTCAAATTTACTTTTTAAGTCTAAGTTTAATAAAGCTCACCATCCAGTATTAGTATACTTGTAATGTTTACAATTTAACTCATTCTTTCAAATTAACAATAACTTAATCAATTTAATTTTAGCTGAAAGTTAATTTAAATAACCCTGCAACCCAGCAAAGAAAAAAAAAAGTCAAGGAGACGAGTAATATTATCTACGTCACAGATACCCGTCAGTCACATTCATACATCACACAACAGAGTACAACACACGGAGAAACATCCATGCCCTGAGCTGGATTCGAACCCGCAACCGTTGCAATCAAGCACGTTAACCGCTCAGTCACCTGGCCGGCAAAACGTTTTCTTATTGAAATGTGCATACATTTAAATTATTTCAGTCATTTGAATTCGGTTACTTTGCACAAACGTTCATGTCCAGGGAAAATTCTTTGATTAAAGACTATGGAAAGAGGTGAGTAATTATTGAAGGGGAAAAGAGTAAAATTTAAAAAAAAATTTGAAACATTAACTTAAATTTCTCTTTATGTCATAGCGTTTCAGCATCAGCACATTGTCACGGAGATGAAGTCACCGCAATTTCATGACCAACTGCACGAAAGTGGTAAAAATTGCTCACCGATCGCCTTTACTTTAGCAGACAAGGCTATAAACTATTTTATTTTATAACCGTCGTTAAACAGTCGATCCAATTTTTTTTTTTTTTTTTTTTTTTTTTTTTTTTTTTTTTTTGACTTGACGACTAATGTCCAACTCCGTAGCGTGGTAATTTTGAACCCAATCCAGGAGACAAGGGGACTCCTGACTCAAGTATTGGGAGAAATTACCTTCGTGCTGGACTTTTTAATGTAACTAACCAGCATTTGCGTCACATGGAGAGGAAAACTACGAAAACTAGCCACGGTCAGCCTGACGGCAAGGGGATTCTAAAGCACGATCCGTCTACTACTGAGGATATTTTACGTCGGCACTGTGATCGGTGCCAGCCGGTTGCGGAATTCGTATCGACCAGCCATTGCTGGAATTTTAACCGGTTCACCTCATTGGAAGGTGAACGCTCTCTATCCCCTGAGCCATCACGGCTCACTGAAAATTATTGATCTAAAGCTGGGTGAGCTTCTAGCTCTCCCCCGAATCGAACCTTCACATTAAATGACTCTTAAACACTGAGCCATCCTGGATCTGCTCATGTAATTTAAGAGAAAATTAATAAGGTGGAAAATTATTATTTCGAAGAAAATAATCGTATATTTTTAATATAGATATTTTAATTGTAATAATCTATAACTTAAAAAATATATCATAGCTAAAAATCATATTATATTTTTTAATGAAATGTTTTAAGCTAAAAACCTAACTAATAAAAATTTTTATTTCATTCAAAAAATAAAAGTTAATTCAAAGTTTTTCTATTCTTATTCACTGATTCAATGACCTCTTTGGCAAGAAACTAGGGTGGGGGTTGGGGGGCTTTCCTTTTTCTACGCTAATCTTTAACTTGAAGTAAATGCAAGCTTAGAAGGATGTAAAAAATCATATAACTTCTGAATCGATTTCTTTTGTTCATATATCTATTTGCATTTAAATTTGTTTGGTTCTAAAATTTAATCTAAGTAACTGAACAAAGCTAATTTTAATGTGGGTTTTTTCTTTTTTTTAACATTCTAAAAAAAACTTATAATGTAGCTCATGTCTTAAAAATAAGAATAAACAAATGATATCTTATTTTTTTTTTTTGGAAAATATTTATTTCACTTTCAACGGAAATTAAAACTTCGCGAAGAAGATGGGGGAAAAATATTCTTAAAGAACTCTCGCAAAATTTTTAAAAGTTACAAAACTGATTCGAAGTTAAAAAATTGAAATCCTTAATTTTCTTGAATAGAAATAAATATCTGTAAATTTATAAGCATGTTTAGGTCCTAACCAGTGCTGGATTACACATTAGGCCTGACTAGGCCATGGCCTGGGGCCCCCAATGATTAGGGGTCCCCTTAAAATGAATTTTTTGAAAATGAATTTTAAAAAAATTAAGAAAAACAATGATTTAAAAAAAAAAAATCTATTTCAAACATATATTAGAATATTTTCAAAATGTTATGATTATTTTTTAGTTCTAATTTAAACAAAATAAAGTAAAATTTAATTTATCATTATTTATTTTTATTTTAAATATTTTTTCTTAAATGAAAAGATATGTAAATACTTTTATATTTGAATAAATAAAAAATATACGAAAAAAACAACTTAATCGAAAGGCCCCGAAAATTTGAATGACCTAGGGCCCCGGATGCGCTTAATCCGGCCCTGGTCCTAACACTTCTCAATAGCATTCTATTGGTTATATTTCCAGATTTTTTTTTTCTGACTAAATATGCATTAGTAATATTGAGACTTCTTTTAACGTTAAAATCATTAAAACCGTTAAAATTTTGTTCAAAAATTTTTGAACAAAATTAAAAACTGAAAAAAGTCGTAATGCAAAAAGTAAGATATATGTGACATAAAAAGAAATAAAATATTATCTGATTTTGAAAACTGTTTAACTTTAACAAAACTAAAATGCTATCATGATAAGGTGAAGAGAGACTATAACACCAGTAAACTCTTAAAAGTTGTGTAGTTTTGTTTGTTTAAAATTTGTAAATTTAATTTTTTTAAATGCTTTAACTTAAAAAAATAATGTAAATCAGAAAGCATGTTGAAATTATAACACTGATCAAAAAATAGAATTCTAAGAGGGGTGGGTGGAATATTTCCAATAATCTGAATTCCGATGACTCTTTCCCTTTGGCACTTCCCCCCTCCCCTCCATAATGTCCTGTTTATACACTCACTACCTACTAACATCCCGGAAAATGCGTTGACAGATTAGAGATAACCCCCTTCCCCAACTTCCCTCAGAACATTCCTTTCACTTTTCGAACTTAGAAAATCACAAAAGGGTCTTTTAAGACAGCGTGTTGCTCTTTTGACCTTATGCGACGTTGTTATTTGATAGGCTGGTTGCATATCGTCAACAAACTTGCCTCTTTGATAAGACAAGAATTCTTTCGAATTGTAAGGGTGGACGCGGGGGAGTATAGAAAAAAGAAGGGTGAGTCGTCGTCTGTCTATCACGAGAAGGATATCACATTGCCAAGAACGTTCATTAAAGATTGGGGTATTCGAACGTTTTCTTCTCCGTCGCTCACTTTAACGAGAATGGATGCGTCAGTTATTCTTAATTGATTCTAATTTCGAACTCCGTGAAAACAACAACGGCCGTCGTAATTCATCGTTACTTTACTCAGACAGTCGGCAATTAAAAGTTCTCGGAAATCTGACTCTCTCTCTGAATTAGGGAAAACACATTAGCTCTGACGCAGTTTTTTGGTGCGGAGAATTAGTTGTTTAGTACCACTTAAGAAGGTTCTCGATAGAATATTTTCTTTCACTTGTCCCGTGTTTGTTTATAACTATATTATACATAGATTTTATTCAGTCATGGAGATTTGGAAATTATTATGGTGGTGCATTCTTGGCACTTCCATTGACTATGTACTGTGCACCAGGGAAAAGAAAATACAAGATATATTGGACACTGTCCACAGGATCGAAGACCAAATCAGCAAAGAAGATCGATTCCGAGAGATCGCCGATATTGTGAGGATCGATTCAACGGTCGATAAGATAAACATAAAAATGGATCGAATGCTCAATCTATTGGATAATAATCCATTGCCACCCATGGCTCGTAGTGACGGAGCCGTTATGCCACGAGATTTAGGTAGCAATATCCTGGCCATTCAGAATCGACTGGAGAGCCTCGAGACAACTTGTGGCAAGATGCAAGACAACCTCGGTGCCTATTCGGTCAAGGTGAATGAGATTGAACAGCGGACGACGCAACTCAAGGATGACATGAACGTCAAGTTGAGGAAAATGATGAACGTCCTGACGGCCCTTTACGAGATGAACAAAGAGATGAAGAAAGATGTGGAGACTCGAACCGACGAGCCAGAGACTCCAAAGAGTGGTAGCTCGTCCACTGGAGGATATGCTACTGAATTTCTCATGGAAAATTTTGACGAGTTGGAGAGGAAAATCCGTGAGCAGTTCAGCATCTTGACGAGTGAGATACGGTCAGAAGTGACGAGTTTGAAAGTTGTCGCTGCCAGCTCTGGGGCTGGAAACTGCCAGTCTTCTTCTTCTGACGACGAGGAAGATGAGGAGTGGATGACACCGCAGAACAATGCTCGCTCTATCGGCAGAAGAGGTAGTCAGGCCGGCAGATCTGCTGGAATGTTAGACAATTTGATGGAAACACTGGGGCGATCGACGCGAGAGATCAGAGAAGAAATACAACAAGGTATGCAAGGTATAGACGATAAGCTGGAAAATTTAACATCTTTAGCGCAATCACAACCCAAATGTGGGGATCTGGAGACGGCAGAATCTGCCATCAGCAGAAGGCGATCTTTGGAACCTTTTGGAGTGACGCCACAACAGCAGAGACTGGAAGAGAATAAACTCGAGAACAGGGATAAGTGTTCGAAAACTGCCCAAAATGTGCCAAATCCAAAATCTTGTGCTGATCTCAGGAAAGGCGGAGCAACTTGTGATGGCATTTATGTTATATTCCCTAAAGGGCGACGAGCTGTACGAGTTTATTGTGATATGACAACTGACAACGGTGGATGGACGGTAAGTGGACATTTTCTTCCACTTTTAAATTATCAATTTGTAATTTTTAAAAAAATTATGTATTAGTAAGTAAGGAGAAATATTGTTTACCCTGTTTCTATTTATTTAATTAAAAAAAACTAATTTTAGATGCTAATAGTAATTAAGAAAATACATTAAATAAGTAAAAAATAATTATTTATTAAACTTGCCTCTTTTTTTAAAAATTTATTTCAAATACTCAAAACAATTTTTAATTAAGGCGAAAATTCATTGTAAACTTGTCTGTTTTATTTAGTTCTAAAATCCTATTTCATTTTCTAATAAATTATTTAAAGGATATAAATATTTCTGATAAAACTATCCCCCTTTTGCTTATTTCAAAATTTTAATTTTAGACTCCACTAAAGTGAAAAAATAAAAAAATCAATTCCAAAAAGATAAATGTACAATGAGCCAAAAACCTTCAATAAATTTTAATCTAATGATCAGGTTGTGGGACTGAATCTTAATGGTTGGAGAGGGTAACCTTAAAAATGCTAATTAATTAGTGCAGACGATATTTTAAGTTACGAAATCAGGCATAAAAACGTACTTTCTCTGATTAAACATAGCTTTTTTTTCAATAGATTCTGATCCCCAAAATATAGGGGTTAGCAGCCAAAACCTGGGAAATAGGATCTTTCATAGTTTTGATCAGGAGAGCGTTCAAAAGTTTAGACGCTTTAATGTTAATTTTACGCATTTCGCCATATTTCGAGAACTTTTTAGGCGAATTGAAAAAAATTTGCACACAGCTCTAAATTTCGTTTATTCATATTATTCAGTTGTTCGTTTTATTCCATGCAAAAATAAATTTTAGAAAGTATTTAGAATTTTATTTAATAATAGTGTACAAGATTTTGAATTGCAAGGAAATACAATTTTTTCCGTCATTTTAAGGTATTTTAAGATCATTTTAAGGTTTACATGGCAAAATACAAAATTTGAGAGAAATCTGTTGTATATTTTCTGAGAAATCGAATTTTAAGGAAGTTGTATATTTTAAGATTGTTTTTGTGTCTGATTTCATAACTTAAAATATCGTCTGCATTAATTAATTAGTATATTTGAGATTATCCACTCGAAACATTAAGATCGAGTCCTAAAACNTTTTTTTTTTTTTTATTTTTTTTTTTTACACGCTGTACATAAGTTATGACTTAAATTTTCTTCCCTGTTATTTAGTACGAAAACTATCTTTTCCTTTATTTTGTTTTAATTTATGTAATATTGTTTAAAGAGTACGATTGATAAAATTAACCTCTCGTTCCTTAGTATTAATTAATTTTCGATTCTAATAACCCCCCAAAAAATCAATTATTCAAAAAGCACATAAAATTAGGACTTAATTGTTCTTCCTTTTATTTAGTTCATAACCAACTTTTTCTTTTCTGAAAATTTATTTTAGATACTTGTAATTAAAAAGAAAACAAAGTTCAGTTACTTGTATCAATGTGAGACGCGTAAATAGGTATAAGTACAAAATTAAATTTTTAACTCATTAAAACTTCTAAGACTTATAGACTATTAGTCGCATCGATCTTGTTTCATTCGATTCAGCGTAATAAAATACATCACTGTTTAATCAACTCCCCTAAAGAATATGCGGTTTTTTTTTTTTCCTTCTGTTCTTTCGATACATTCAAGCCCAGTTATTGACTGAAATCCTTATATGACTAAAACAAATCATATTTGAAATTTGTTCACCAAACAAAATAAAATTTTTTACCCTGAATGACCGAAATCAAAAGAATGACGACATTCACCGATAAATGTCAACAATCACATAGTCGCTTTGGTGAATGTCCGAAATATATGTCTCATATCCGATTTAAAATTAATTTATTCGTTGATGTTATTATATTTATTCGATAATTTAATATCTGTGCTGAGGATAGATTAAGAGAAACATCAGTGTTCGGAGTACCGGTCAAATGCATACCTGGCACTTGACCTTAGAAAAACATTGATGTAGACCGAGCAAATATATACCGGGCAGTGGCACTTAACTGGACCTAGTATGTAATTCGGACATTTACCAAAGCGACTATGTGATTGTCAACATTCACCGGTGGAAGTCGACAACCACCTATTTCTGTCATTCACTGTAACATATTCATTACAATGAAATCTTCAAGGGCCGATTATTATGAATAAGCAAATATTAAGAAGTATTTATAGTATTAACAAATTTAAAAAAAAATTTAAGAAATATAAAAATTATTACTAAACTTGTGTCAGTTTTATCCAGCTTTACATTTGTAAGTAACTAGTTGTAATTAACTACAAAAATTAAGTAGTTTTTCCGACAGCTGCTGTAGACTTTAATTACGTAGCATGATTTTGGCCAATTTTAATAGCCAAAAAATTAAATTAAACGACAGGTGAATGACTGAATTTCTCAACAGTGAAATCACATTCTTTTGTTTCATTTTGAGCCGTGGTGGCTCAGGGGATAGAGCATTCCAATAAGGTGCACCGGATTGGAATCCCAGCAACGGATAGTCGATACGAATTCCGCACAGTACTGACATAAAATATTCTCAGTGGTAGATGGATCCTGGGTTAGTCCTCTTGCCATCAGACTAACCATGGGAGGTTTTCCTCTTCATGCAACGCAAAGGCGGGCTAGTTTCATCATAAAGTCCTCCACGAAGGCGAATTTCTCCCAATATTTGATCTAGGACAGGGGGTGGCGAACCTTTATACACCAACGTGCCATTTTTTCTAAAAAATTGTTTAATGAGGTCATAGGTGTGCCGTCAAATAATTTTGACTTCGTAATTATTGGGAAAATAATAATACTATCAACTCAAAACTCCTTATTTACATTGGAAAAAAAATACATTTTGCAATGTCTCAGTTATACGCGTCATTCAACTTAAAGTAATATCAGTGTGACTTCTGTTGTTGCAGATTTGATGACAAATAACTTATATTAGGTTGTAAGATGTTAGTTTAAGCAGGACTGTTGATTTTTTTTGCTAGTTATTTATTGTTAGCTTGTTTTTTATGGCTATTAATTGTCTTTTTAGCATTAATTGTACATTTTTTATTAATAATTGTTTATTATTTTGAGTGTTTTAATTTAATTGTTACACGTGCTTCATAGTGTAATAACAATTCATACTGTAATAACAAATGTGATCACTGGCGTGCCCAAAATATTGTGATAGGTGCCATAAATGGCACGCGTGCCATTGGTTCGCCATCCCGGATCTAGGAGTTCCCTTTTCTTCTGACTTGGATCGAAAATTACAAGCTACAGAGTTGAATGTTTAGTAGTCGTCAACCCAAAAATTGGGTCGGCTGTTCAACGACGGTTGTGAAATTAAATAAAATGTTTCATTTTTAATAAACATGAACTTTTTTTTTATTTTTTTTTTCGTTGTTCTCTTTATTGGTCAGGTACAGATTGCGCAAAATTCAAATATTGCCTGATTATGAGACATTAAAAAAGAACAGCTGAAAAAGATTTTTTTTAACAGCCTATATTTGCAAGTTAAATGCTTATCACTTTTCGCTATGTAATCAATATTCCCCCTTCTATTGAATATTGTTTACACCTCTTTTATCTTGCTTCCCCCTTTTATCTTATCATAACCTATTTCTCATCTCTTAACTCTTTCAAAGATAAATGGGAAAGTGCGTTTAATTTTGAATAATAAATTAAGACGGAGATTTAGATAGAGAAATAACATAAAAAGTTTAGTTGAATATATTTTCTCCTTTAATATTAGAGCAAAGTATACTTTCTTTTAAATAAGAGTTATTTTTAGCCTCAAAAGCGTATGGGAAACGTTCATTTGATAAATTCAGAATTGATTGTGCTCAGGAAGAAGTCCCGATTTCCGGATTTTTCGCTAACCGCGATTGGGAAATTTTCGTAATTCCAAGGTCCTGAAGTTTCATTTTTATGTATAAAAATTTTTATGTATAAAATTTTTTGTATATTTTATTTAAAAATATTAGAGCTAGAATTTATACCTGGCATCTCTTTCATTTGTAAATATTTTTTCTGGTAGAATAATATATATGATTAGAGATAAAAGTAAATTTATACAAAATTATTCATTTAAATTATGCTGCATATAATAAAACTAAATGGAGTTAAAAACTTGACGCGAAGAGAGAGCAGAATTGTATTAAAGTTAAACACATCAAGCAACAAGGAACGAATACTACGAATTGGATATGAGGATATAAGATGGTTTATAGAGTCTTGAAAAAGTAAGAGAGAAAATCTGATTTTCATAATTTTTTTTTTAAACTTCAGGAAAGAGCTGCGGTGGCTCGGTTAGAGCACTCGCCTCCCAATGAGGTGACCCAGATTCAATTCATGCTTTGGCTGGTGGATACGAATTGCGCACCCGGGTCGCACCGACCACAGTGCTGACATAAAATACCCTCAGTGGTAGATGGATCATGTGTTAGAGTCCTTTTGCCGTCAGACTAACCGTGGGTGTTTTTCTTGTCCTTGTAACGAAAATGCGGGTTAGTTTCATCAAAAAAGTCCTTCACGAAGATAAAATTTATTCTGATACTTGATCCAGAAGTTCTCTTGTCCTCTGGATTGGGTTCAGAATTACAAGGATACAGAGTTGAACATTGGTAGTTGCAAACTCAAAAAATGGATCGGCTGTTCAACGAAGCTCTTAAAGTAAATAATTTAAATCTAACTCCAATGCTGCATTATTTGGGATCACAAAAATAGAGAAATATTCATTGATTTTGATAATTTTTATCTAGGAAGTAAAATCTTCCCATTTGGTGATTTAAAAAAAAGTTAAACAACTCTTTACATTAAATTATTTATCCGTTCTAAGGCCCAGATAATTATTTACAGCACAATATGTCATATATAGTAAAAAATTATAGCCTTGTTTCAATGGTAAGATAGATATCCTCCTTGATATGTGGATCATGGGTTAGAATCCCCTTACTGTCGGACTAACTGTGGGAGGTTTTTGCGATCTTTTTCTCTATGTAACGCAAATACAGGTTAGTTCCAACAAAAAGTCCACCACGAAAGATGTTTTTCCTCATTATTTCATCACAGCCTTCCTTAGTTTTCTGAGCTAGGATCAAGGCTGCATGACAAAGAAATAGAACATTGATAATTGTAAACACAAAATTGGGTGTCTGTTCAACACTGGTTATATAATAAAAATGAAATAAAATTTTATGTTAACACATTTTTTTTATAGTTTTCACTGAATAGATGAAAAAAATTCGATTATGCAAAATATATATTTCCGTGTGTTCGGAAAATTTTACCTGCTGCTTTCTCTAAACAATTCTCTTATTTTATCATCATTTGCTTTAAGTCACATGATTCTTTTAAATTATAAAAATGAGGCATTTAAATTTTTTTGTGGAGAGTTTGCCGTAATGTAAGAAGATCTGTAAAAAGTTTTTACACATTCCTAAAAAAAAGTGCGTTTTTGACACTATCTAAAAATATCGCTGCTGCTTTAAAGTTTTTCCCCAGATATTTTCTTTCAAATGTTAACGTTATTTTATAACCATCGTTGAACAGTCGACCCAAATTTGGGTATACGACTACCGATGTTCAACTTCATAGTCATGTAATTTTGAACCCAATCCAGAAGACAAGGGAACTCCTGGATAAGTACTGGGGAAAATTTTGCATTCGTGCAGGACTTTTCGATGGAACTAATCAGCATTTGCGTTACTTGGCGGATAAAAACCACGAAAACCTCCCAGGGTAAGCCTGACTGAAAGGGAACTCTAACCCATGATCCGTCTATTCCCTCATTGGAAGGCGAACGTTCCATCCTGGAGCCTCCACGGCTGAAATGCTTTTGCCACCTCGCTAAATTCGATAAAATTCTAAATTTGGCGAAACATTTTTTCCACTGGAAAGAAACGAAAATTACAACAAAATGAATTTTTCGAAACGAATCAGTATTTTTTATTCGATTTCAGTAATTTTCGGTAGATGCGTCATATAACCAATTTGAATTGGGTCCAAATAACGTAAGCCTGAAACAAAATACCGTAAAATAGTTTTCTAAGGGAAGAAAATTAAACATAAAAAATTGAGATTTGCATTTGACGAAGACTTTCGAAAATTTGCGATTGCTTTTGATATTTGGCTAATTTACTGGTTAATATTTTGAAATCCTTGGCCCTGAATAACTGTAGCTAAGTATAAACTGTAAANAATCGTAAATTTGGCGAAAGATTTTTTCCACTGGAAAGAAATAAAAATTACGCCAAAATGAATTTTTCGAAACAAATCAGTATTTTTTATTCGATTTCAGTAATTTTCGGTAGATGCGTCGTATAACCAATTTGAATTGGGTCCAAATAACGTAAGCCTGAAACAAAATACCGTAAAATAGTTTTCTATGGGAAGAAAATTAAACAAAACAAATTGAGATTTGCATTTGGCGAAGACTTTCGAAAATTTGCGAATACTTTTGATATTTGGCTAATTTTCTGGTTAATATTTTGAAATCCTTGGCCCTGAATAACTGTATCTAAGTATAAACTGTAAAATTAGGATTTTTACTAATCAAAATTTATAGTGTTTCTTGCGTGTATTTCAAAATGCAATATTTTTATTCGTAAGCGTAACGTCGGGGCACATGGGACAGGTGCCCCATCAATAATTTTTCAAATCTTCAGAATTTCTTTTAAATTATTAAATTTTTGAAGCTTTAGAAAAACTATTTTTTATTTTACAAAAAAGACAATAATTTTAGGTAGTTTATAAAAATTTTAAACAATTATTTCTATGATTATTACTTTTAATTAAGTGTTATCTTGAAAGACAAAAACAAATTTACTACGATTATTAATCAATCGGTATTTGTTTATAACACTGAACTATACTTTTTGTTAATTATAAATATTTGTTTATAACTATAGCACTTGTTTATAACTGTAGTTCGTAGTTATTTAGTTTCATTTATGCATAATATTATTTTTAATTATAATTATTTTCTTTAACATTGTGTAATAATCTTTAAAAACACATTTTGCTTTTTGTAATTGTCAAACGTGTTTAGTTACAGCGTTTGCCAAACGTGTTAGTAACAGCTTGTTTAATATGTAAAATCTACATTTTAATTTGTTTCAAGTATACATTTAAAATTAAAACTTAATATATTACTTTTACGTTTAATATTTATAACCAATATTATCCAGTTAAATTTTTACTTAACCAGTTATATTATTTAACCAATGAGTTCCATTAACTAATTTTAAATGTGGCTTAATGATTTTTCGCCCTGTTTCAATCGAATTTGTTCTAAACTATTTTATTTGATTTTCAAATAACTTTTGAAAATGTAGCTCGCGACTTGAGAGACCAGATTGCATAAAAATATTTAAAAGAAGGGTATTACAAATAGTAAAAAAAGAAATGTCATTCTTATAGATTTTAAGATCATCCTATATCAAAGATTTGCAACTGTTAAAAATTATAAAGTACATTAGAATGAACCTGATATTTTTCAAAGCGACGCGGATAACAGTTAAAATCGAAATGAATGTGTAAAAACTTTGTACATTTTTGGCACTGTGGCAAAATAATCATATCATTTATTTCAAGCAAAGACTAATTTAGGCTTACGCAACTCTTTTATAAAAAATAAATAAAAAAATTTAAAAAAAAAACATTTTTGCTACAATTATTAGACTATGTACTATTTTTCTATAACTGTTTAAAATTAATTGAATGTTTATGAATTGGAAATGTAAAATGCGGAGAAAAAAAAACGGACCACCCTGAATAACTTCTGATCTAATGATTGAATCTTCACGTTCTAGGACTCCATCTTAATGGTTCGAGGGAGTGACCTCAAGTATGCTAATTAATTAGGGCAGGCGATAATTTAAATTACAAAAATCAGACACGAAAACTTACTTTCTCTGAGTAAACATACCTCCTTTTCAACTGATTCGAAATTTTCGCTATCTGGAAAATATGGCCCCCATAGTTTGATCCCCTTAATGTTAATTTTATTTTTTGCGTATTTCGCCATAGCTCGAGAACTTTATAAGTGAATTTCAAAATCTTTGCGCACAATTATGAAATCCGTTTATCCAAAGATAAATCCACGCAAAAGAAAACGAAAAAATTTTAGTAAATAATATTTATTTTTTAGCGAAACAGTCGAAACATATTTCAGCTATAAGGTATATAAAGTTTTACATAATTTTAAAATATCTAATTTTACATGACAAAATACAAAATTGGAGCGAAATCGGTTGAATAGTTCCTGAGAAATTTAGTTTTAAGTATATGACTTTTTTGGCGCAATGTACCTGTTACAGAACGTAATTGTAAATGAGAAATTTTGCCATTTTTATTTTTTCAATTTAAGAACATAAAACATGAAAATTCAGACTTGCATTGGCTTTACACTATGTCCTGGTTACATTGCAGTATTTGCGAGAACTCGGGAACGCTTTTTATTTATTTCCGATATTTTAGTTAACAACCTCTTCCTTAAGTACGCAATATTGCACTTAAGCTTGAGACATTTCTACAATTTTTTTTTATTCAATAATTGAAAATATCGCTAATAATATCAAATCTTTTTTGTTTCGTAGTAATTGTTTAGATTATAATTTCTAAAAAAAATAATTCGAAATAATTGAAAAAAAAGTAGAATGAGGTTTGAAGTATGGGTTTATTTAAAAAAAGAAAAACTGACTCTACGTTCAGATCTGTATCTTTGGCCAATTCATTTAGCCAATTAAATAGTTCATGTCAGATCGCTTCGATTGCTCTATCTGCATGGGTCTTGTTTAGTACTCCTGGATTTTATATTACATTCATATCTTTTAAACATTTTAATAATTATATTAAAGGTTACTGCCAATAGTGTGTCAAAAAACTAAAGATACTGAAGTTCATAGATATTTGTTCATTAAAAAACGCTACTTTCGTACTTTCGCTCAGACGAAAAAATACACGGCTGCTAAAAATCGCTGTGATTTGGACCCGATTCAGCTCATCTCTCTCCGCGAACGCTCTTATCTCTTGCGCCATCGTGGCTCTAACTTAACTATATTTTATTTTATAACCGTCGTTGAACAGCCGACCCAATTTTATGGGTTTACGACTATTCATGTTCAATTCCGTAACCTTGTCATTTGGAACCCAATCCAGAAGACAAGGAAACTCCTGGATCGAGTATCTGGAGAAATTTGCCTTCGTGGAGGACTTTTTGATGGAGCTAACTCGCATTTGCGTTACATGGAGAGGAAGACCACGAGAACCTCCCACGGTTAGCCTCACGGCAAAGGGACTCTAACCCATGATCCACTGAGGATATTTCACGTCAGCACTGTGGTCTGTGCAAGCCGGATGCGGGATTCGTATCGACAGGGATTCGAATCCGGTTCGCCTCATTGGAAGGCGAAAGCTCTATACCCTGAGCCATTGCGGCTTTAACTTAACTACATGACGCAAAGAAGAAAAATTTTTAACTTATACATAAAACAAGTGCAAAACTAATGTTTTCTTATTTAAATTGTATTAAAGGCTACGGCCTCGGCTCGCTAAAGTTTTTTTCTTTTTGATCTCTTCACCATCTTAGCTCGTTCATTTCATCTATCGTCTTTCCTCCTAAAATAAGCGGCCCTGATTTTAGATGAGCCTTTCAAAACGTTAAAATTGCATCTTAGTACATGAACAACCAAACAATTAGAATTATTAAAGTGTTCAGTTTATTATTTGTGCAAATGTTAAGATTTCAATTTAACAATTTGTTATTTTTTCCAGTTACTTCTGAGACGGGGTGATTACGGAGAAAAAATGACCAGCTTCCATCGGAACTGGATGAGCTATAAGAATGGATTTGGAGATTCTGCTGGAGAGTTCTGGCTGGGCAATGACGTCATGAATTCCATGACCACTGAGGAACAAAATGTTCTAAGGATTCATCTCACTTCCTTTGATCATGACGAAGTGGACCTGGTGTACGATTCCTTTGTGGTTGGCAATGAAAGTACAAATTACAAACTAGTACTGGGAAGAACTATTCTAGGACCAGCAGTAGCAGCTAATAGCTTAAGGTAACCATTCTTAAGCGTCTACTTTTTTTTTTCTTACCGAGAGGCAGTTATCACTAAAACAAAATGCCAAAAATTGATATAGAATATTTTAGCCGTGAGGCGGCAGTGACGTGAAAACAAGATACTAATCACTGCGGACGTATTCCGTGATTACTACCGTTTGTAAGTCTGGCTACAGAAATCACGGAAGAGTACATTTTCTGGAAGCTTTCGTAATACTCCTTTATTTTATTTTTTTTTGGGGGGGGCGAGTTCTTTTTTACTCTCTTTGCACTTTTTCGGTAGCTCATAACTAAGGCCCGGATTTTGATGAAATTTGCATTTTTTTCATTTTTGGACATTTTTTGTCTTTTAGAGCATTCTTTTTTTATTTATAGGGCATTTTTCGTTAAATTTTGGGGCGTATTTTGCATTTTAATGCATTTTTTAAAGTTTTTTGTTAATTTTTTTCCAATTTTTATTATTTTTTATCAATTTTCATTATTACACTGGCTTCCAAACAATGAAGAAAATCTATAGGATATTAACAGGTGAAGCAAAATCTTTTCAAATTGAAGAAGAATTGTCAGTAAGTGAGACCGTCTTTTTCAAGTACGCACCTATAACATCAGTAGACGTTGAAAGAAGCTTCTGCAGGAATGAAAATTTACTTTCAGACAAGAGACGCTCGTTTACATTTCAAATTATCAAAAAACATTTAGTAATCCAATGTAATTCTGATATTTAGTAATATTATGAGATGGAAGTTGTTATATCCATCAAAGTTTCTATACAAAAGAAAAATATTTTGGTGTCAATATATTTTCCTTTTTTTTGTTATTTTAGGATATAAAACAAATTTTTCAAACTTTAATGAACGTAGAACAAGTATTGCATTGCTTTATATTTTTTAAATGACTCATAATAATTTTAAAGAGCAAAACATTTTTTTAATTCAATATTTTTACTTTATTTAAAGCATTTTTTGGGCAATTTTTGGATTCTTAAGGGCATTTTTTGCCCTTTTTAAGGACATTTTTTGCCCTTTTTAAGGGCATTTTTTGCACTTTTTAAGGGCATTTTTTGCACTTTTTAAGGGCATTAGTTGAGATTTTTTAGGTCATCAAAATCCGGGCTCTACTTATAACTATTTCAATAATTATATAATCACAGCACTCTGCGCATTATTTATATTTCACAATACATGGAGGAAACAGAACTCGCACGTCTAATTGAACTTTTAGTATATATTTTTAGAACAGTCTTAAAAATTGAAGAAAAAGTGTTTCCACATTAGTAGGCAAAAATTAATACGTAAGCGAAGAGGAAAACGCTATCGAAATCTCTATTTTCTAGTGAGGAAGACAGAAAACCAGTTTGATTGCTTTTTGAAGCTTGAAGTGTTTTCAATAATCACATCTTAATTCTTTTTCTTTTATTCAGAGAAATTACATTTTAGTGTCCGAATTTGAACTTTAAAACATTTTCTGCACATAGGCATATTTAAAGTTAGCTTCTCAGACCACTCAGATTGAGTTTCCTAAGAATCCGATCATTCAATTAAAAGTTGTTCGCTGTGTTCACCTTTTATTTTGCGCACTGTTCATAGTATGAAAACAAGTCTTTAAATGAAATCATTCATTCTGTGTCTTCTTTGGTGATAAAAACTTAATTCACTTCATTAAAATATATTTGACAGGTATCACAACAATCAGCCTTTCAGCACTTATGACAGAAAGAATGAAGACTTTCAGCAGAACTGTGCAGCCACCTACAAAGGAGGTTGGTGGTTTAACGGTTGCTACTTTGGTTTTCTGACTGGAGAATATTTCAAACCTGGTGACAAGCGAGAAAACTGGCAGGGAATGCTGTGGTACGACTGGAAGGGGAATGCAGCACTGAAAGCAGCAGAAATGATGATTAGACCAAAGAACTTCACTCTCACGTGAAGCACCTTTTAGCAGTAAAATAGAGATGGAACGTTCTTTTAAAAGATCGTGTACCGGTTCTTAGGACACAATTATACCTGTTACAAATATCTATTCCAAAGTAACAGACAAGCACTTTATAACAGTTCCATTAGAGTTACCCGTATCTATACTCGTCTCAAGAATGCGTGGTTTCCCTCATCCGTTACCATGATTTTGTTAAATCTGACTTTTTCCCCACGCAAGTATAGTCCAACCTCTTACTGAAACGTGCTGTTGTGGTAGGAAAAGCAAGATATACTGAAACCATGGTAATGCAGAGAGTAAAAAGTTGGTGAGTAGGGAAATCACGTAACTTTAAGACGCCTATTCTATTTAAAAAGAGTATGTTGAAATTAGAGAGTTACGACAGATATCGGAATCTGTTATCACACTTTCTTCTCTCCTACTTCGCATCAAATGTTAACTGTATCGTTTTTTTTATGAACCAAACTACGCATAAGTTGCAAAAATTATTGATCAACTAATTCAGCTTTTCAATAAGTCAAACTTTACTTTTAGTTTGCTTACAAAACTTTCCACTATACTCTGTTGCAAGTTAAGAAAAAAACATCCCTAAAGAGAGAGCCTGTTTGCATGTAAGGGCACTCCAAATGAATGCCAAGCTCTCAGGGAGAACGTGTATCAACATCGCTAACTCTTGAAACGACGTTGCACAGCCTTCTTTTTGATACCTTTCTTAGATTGTGTGAAATAAGGAAAATACGACTTAACTATTGTTAAGAATAAGAACTATTGTTTGGTTAATAAGAATTAATAAAAATGATGTCTGAAAATCGTAACAAATATACATCTTCCTGCTCGCACTTATAGAAACTGATGAAAGAAATATTAAATATTGTTTCTTGACCACGATTTTCTTTTACAGCGAAACAAAAGTAAAAAAGTTCCTTATCTCGTATTTGATTTGTTGAGGCCATTTTTAGTGGTCCAATCAAATCCAATGGTCTGGCAACGTCATACAGTTGTCTCTTTTTCGAGAAAGAATATTCTCCTTATTTATGGAAATATGTCGCCAAGCCTGGAATTTCAGTACGACTACGAAACTTTCACTTTTGTTTAAATAATTCTATGATATGTATCTTAAATGTTAGCAAGAATTAAATTTCTGCCCAACAAGTTTAACTTCTAAAAGCTTTTATATTGTTTTGAAAGCATGTTCATATAATTTGATATCTGAATAAAACGGAACTTTATGCAATAGCGAATGAATACTTAAATCCTATACCGCGATGGTCTTTTCTTAGCTTGCAATGGGATATAGCCATATTTTCTTATAAAGAAAACTAACGTTTCATCAAAAAACTAAACTTTATTTAGAGTAAATAACGTGATAGAAGTGCCAAATATAGCAATCACAATTTCTAGAAGCTATTTTTTTTTTTACAAAATATATAGATGGTTGGACTGATTTTGAGTACAACCGATACCATGTATGTATAATCAAGATAAATTTTAAAAGCATGAAAAAATAATCAATACCGATAATACAGTCGAATAATTATAAATTATTTGACTGTATTATCGGATTATCTGTATATGACAAAAACTCTAAATTTCTAATTTGAATTTGTTGAAATGTGACATTCAAACAGTTTTATTTTCAATTACAATATGTGTAGAATGTTACGATAAACTAATTTCAAGCCGAAGCAGGATCGAGCAATTAAATAATAAATTTTAGAAAAAAAAACGTGTCAAGCATAAAATGAGTTTTTTTTTTCCAATCCAGCGAAGTACAAGTTAAAAGAACGTTTACATATTTCTATTACTTTATAATTCAGTCTGCATATTGTGCGATTGTGGTATTATAAATTAATATACTACTACATTTATGTATGTAGTCTTCATAAAGGTGTATTGTAAATGTATTTTTATAGATCCCACCTAGCTGAATAGTTTGTAAGTATTTTGATATTGAAATAAAATTAAAAAAAATTGTAAGTTACTATATGATTCCTTGCATCTGTTTCATTATCTATCGGTTACTGTGAACGATCAAAATCAAGAGAATGTAGACTTTTACCGGTGAATGTCCACAATCACAAAGTCGCTTTGGTGAATGTCCGAATTATTTGTTATATCCTATTTGATATTAATTTATACGTTGACAATGTTTATTCGATGTTTTAATATCTGCTGAAGGTAGATTAGGAGAAACATCAGTGTTCGGAGTACCCGGCAAACGTATGCCGGACATTGGCACTTAACTAGACCTAGTATATATTTCGAACATTTACCAAAGCGACTATGTGATTGTCAACATTCAACGTTGTAAGTCAACAATCACACATTTCGCTCATTCACAGTAACATATTTATCATTGCAAAAAATATTCCATGCCCCAGCTGAATTAAATATAAAATATTTTCGCTGTTAACTCTACGGTAATATCATTTCATGGAATTTTATGAAATGATTTGTTTGCAACTGAAATTTACTTACAACTGAGTTTGCTCTATAAAAATTGAATTTCATATAAAATTGATTAACTGTTTGTCCAATGGAAACAAAATTTCTATTATATTTCCAATAGTCCATTGTGCAGCTCTAGTGAGACGTCAATAAAGTAACTACCTATTGAACTGCAATTAAATCGCTGTAGCAAATGCATCGAAAATCAACAGAAGATTGACCGAATAACCTAACTTACTCCCTGGCATTACAGTCCATGTTGGACCATGGCCTCACTAACAATGTTTCTCCAAAGTCGCCTGTCTCTAGCTCTTTGTCTCCAGTTTCGGACCTTTAGAATCTTAAGGTCTTTCTCCACCTCGTCTAACCATCTTTTGGCCGGCCTTCTTCTTTTCCTTTGGCCCTGGCACTGCTCCTTGAATATCTTCTTAGTGCCTCTGTTTTCCTCCATTCTCTCAAGGTGTCATAGCCATTGAATTCTCTTTGCTTTTACATAATTGATTATTTCTTTTCCTTTAAATCAGGGTTCATGAACCCCTAAGGGGTCCATGAGTTATATTTTGGGGGTCCGCTGAACACTCCTAATTTTTAAAACGTTTAGAAGCCTACCCATTGCTTGTAGAGCGAGTTATGGCAGCTATAATTCCATTTGCTACAGTAGTGTATCTTTGCGAAACGGGATTTTCCACAATTGTGACAATAAAAACATAACATTGAAATCAATTGAATGTTGAACATGATATGCCTGTTTGCTTTGTTGAAAACCATCCCCCAATTCAATTTGTTAAGTAAGGAAAAGCAGCAGCAACCTTCACATTAAAAATTTTAATTTTTATACCATTAAAATAATAAAATTAAATGTTTTCTAATAATTGACGTTTTTTGCAATTATTTTTTTCACAGGGGGTGGTCCGTGACTTCTTAAAATTTTTTAGAAAGGGTCCATTATATCAAAAAGGTTAAGGAACACTGCTTTAAATAGTCTTGAAATTACGAAATTGTATCGCCTTCTCCACAGATCACCCTCTTTGGCAGGTCCAAAAATAGTTCTAAGAATTTTTCTTCCCCAGGTAATCAGCATTTTTTCTTGTTTCTGGGTTGGAGTCCATGGCTTTGATCCATAGATAACGGTTGGTTTGATTATAGTTTTATAAACCTGAAGCTTTGTCTTCCTCGTTAATACTTTTGATGTTAGCAATCTATTAAGTGCAAAAAAAAACTGCGATTTCCAGCATTTAGTCTTTGCTTAATCTCTGGCATTTTATCATTGTATTCAGTGATAACTGAACCCAAGTACTGAAATTCCCTAACTCTTTCAAATTTTGTCATTTCATTAATTTGTAGTTCTGTGTCCGTATCCGTTCCCTTACAATCCATTATCATGTATTTGGTCTTATCAATATTTATTATTATCAATATATATTATATTAATTTTTGGTTAAGTTTTTAAAAAGGTCAACAAGTGCATTTTTACCGGTGTGAGGAAAAAAAAAGCCTGATTGCCGAAATCATGGTAACGGAGAAGGGAAAGAATCGGGCAACCACGTAATCTTGAGGCACTAATTTTATTTACAGAGTACATAACAGCACCATATTGCAGGCATCAAAGATACCTTCGCTAACGTAAAACAAGAATAAATAAAATAAAAAATATATAAAAATTTTAATGGAAGAATATACTATAGGACATTTTAAAAATGAATGAAATTCAAAAATTGGGAAAATGTTGTAGAAGGCTTAAAAAAGTCTTGATTTTCAGTCCCTTATCTTTCAATAAATTCCAATGTTTATTTATTGTTTTACATACATATGCAGGCTTGTACGCACAAAGTATGGTTTGTCAAACTGAAGAGCATGAAAAAGATACGGTCAGGGATTCGAACTCTCCACTTTTTACAAAACGCCAAGGCTATCATTCGAATGTTGATTTTTTTCACTAATTCACTTAAATGACGTTTAACACATTCCAACATTACCAATAAGCTCTTATTTTTCACTACTACTGTATATTTCCGAATATAGGCCGAGAAGTTTTAAAATTTTTTGAAAAATAAAGTAGAAGAGTTGGCTGCTTTCAATCGAATGTTATTTTCTCCAAAATTTCCAAACCACCACCTGCCAGCAAATATACTTTTCCGTTTACCGGGAATTCCGGATAAATCACAAAATTTTGTGAGACAGCACATACAAAACGTAAAACTATATAAAATAACAATTAAAAATTAAACACGAAAAAAATTACTCATAAAATTGACAATTGAAAAGGTTTTTTTTAAATAAGATATTCTTTTAACACTCGTTTTTCCTAATATAAAAGCAAACGAAAAGTTTAACATGATTGTTTCAGAATTCAAATAATCTTCGGCTCCGGAATTACTTCTGTTTTTTCCCAAATTCTGACGTCTGGACTGATAATTTCAAAAGCTTGAGAAAAAGAGAAGAGGAAACAAAAGTTAGAAAGAAAAACTTTCAATAAGTTTGTATTTCTGAACAAAGGTAAACAAATAAACTAAGTCGGCTGCTGCAAAAATGACCTAGTTACTTTCCAAAAACTGCTTGTCTTATTTAAAAAAAATTTCATGTTAGATACTTAAATTAGTTTTGAAATTTCATGCAAATTTTGAAAGAAAAAGTGTACTCTCAGCTTATATATGGTATCCCAGGATTATTAGGGCGAACTTTAAGGAGATGTAGAGTAGCAGTTCCTAAATGGTGTTCCACGCGGAACCCCATGGATGAGTTTAAGGGGTTTCCGTGGGTTAGTATTTTTTTATAACCATCAGTGATGAATTTTGAAACCTCTGATTATATTTAAATCCAAAATATAATTTAATTAAACTTTCGGTTGTCTATATTAAATTACTTCAAGCAAAATATCAATGAAATAGAAATGTCATTTTTGAAAATAAACTATTTCTATTAACGATGTATTGAACAAATTATGAAAAGAACGAGCATTTATAAAGGATTGCATTAGTATCTTTCAAATCAAAATGAAATTCTTTAATTAAGAAAGATGTTTTCCCAATAATCATTTTTAACGCATTTTAATTTCGAAATAAAATATAATTAGCGGCTTATTTTATTCACATTCAGCTACATACCAAAAACAAATTCATAACTAGACTAGATATAGCGCAAGAACAGCAACTGTCGGACATAAAACTAAATTTAAGGTTGCTGATGATAAAACGATAAAAAAAAAAAGTCTCATTCCTTTAATTAAATATTTAAGAAATAATGGTCTTCTTTTGGTTATAACTTTTACTTTTATAAACTAATTTATGCAGTCGAGGTTCCATGATTTATATGAAGATCGAGGTTCCGCCAAAAGAAGGCTGATTATATGAAGTTTCGTTGCCGAAAAACATTAGTAACCACTGAGGTGGGATCACAAGGATTCAGATTTACGTAACAACATGTGGTAGGAAACGTGTTCGTTTGCCGCTAGGTGGTGTTGTATGTGGTACGAGCACTGAAAGAAACACACCTGCAGTCATTTCAGCTTCATTATTAATATGATAATAATTGATCTGAATTAAATTAAGGATTCTATTTCCTTTTTTCTTCTTTTTGTCTTCCCTATGTAATTTTTTAAATTTATCTGTAGTCAATCTTTATTTAACTTAAGTAAATTTGCACTATTGTTATGCCAAATTAGTTTGTTAGTCATGCCCGTCTGCTTTTATTTTATTTTATAACCGTCGTTGAACAGCCGATCCAATTTTAGGTTTATGATTACCAATTTTAGGTTACGATTACAATGTTCAACTCCACAGTTTTGTAATTTAGAACAAAAGCTAGATGAAAATGGAACTCCTGGCTCAAGTATTGGGAGAAATTTTGCCTTCGTGGAGGACTTTATAATGGAACTAACCCGCATTTGCTTTACATGGAAAAGAAAACCACGAAAATTTCCAACGGTAAGCCTGACGGCAAGGAGACTCTAATCGATGATCGTCTACCTCAGAGGATATTTTACGTCAGCGCTGTGGTTGGTGCAAACTGGGTCGGAATTCGTATCAACCAACCATCACTGAGATTCGAACCCGGTTCATCTCATTAGAAGGCGATTGAGGGTCGCCCGAATGGGAGTATGCAAAATTTTACGTACTCGGAGCTGGAAGATATGCAGATTATGTAAGGTACATCTTTCTTTCAGTACCTTTCGCAATACAGTCTTTCTGCTACTCTCGCATTTTCCTCCAGCAATCCGTCCATTATGTGCATAGCTGCCAGATCGATGTGCGTAAAACTTTGCATGATGACAAACTCAAATACTGCAGCAGTGCAGGTCTATTTCCTCCAATGCCTTTTGTGAACACAACCTACCGGCGAAACAAAGATGTTTATGACCATGTCCCCTTAAAGTTTGTCCCAATAATTTTGGGACACCCTGTATAATTAAATGGGCTTATATTTTCTTTTTTTTTTCTTTTTTGATTTCACGACTCCTGAGAAAAATAAAACTATTTTTGATTTTAGTAGTTTTACATTTCAACTAAGTTTTATAATATCGTTTCTTAATAATCACATTCGGACAAATTAACAACATTGGGAGACATCGGTGTGGAATTTTCATCGCTGTTTCGTTCACCGTCTATTGCACATGGAACACTGACACCACTTAATTTAGCCACTTCTTCTGTCACTATGTTCTGTATTTTTAATCTCGCTATCATTGACCTATCGTAGGGCAATATTCTGAGAGGAGTCAAAAGGCTCATGAGAAAATGGTAAGTGTCGTCGTTTCCGGGACACTTATCACTACATTTCATTTTCTTTGAACTAGCCTCCCTGTGATGAGGAACTTCGGACTTTCTTTTGCCACTTGATTCTATGGAATTATCCGTGAGATTTTTATCATTTGATTCCGTGGTGGAATCATCTATGATATTTTTGCTAACTGATTCCGCGGAATCGTCTGCGAGACTTTCTTCAGATTCGTACACGGACACGGCATGGGCTAAGGTTTCGGTATCGCTATCAGTCGCGTCGTAAATGGAATCCTTGGAATCGTCAGCCACTGAATGTTCTATTTTAGTGGTACCCTTTGGTGGCTTCACTCCAGAGAAAGAACGTTTTGTGTTAATCTTCTTGGTAAGCAGCTGATCCCCGAGAAACCACAAACTCTTGTACCATACCCACTGGGGAGTGTATTTTTCGGATGTACCACTGTTTCGTGCTTCCATATCCTTCTTGAATTCTTTCCGAAAATTATCCCGTAAATGTTTCCATTTACATCGAACAGCTTCACCTGAAAGTAGAGTTTTTCGTTTTAAAATTTGTCATTTAATTGGAATATAGGAAAGCTAAAATTTCATATGATATAAATATATACTGGTGGGCTCCCCTATTCCCAATCCCTCACTACTAAGTAGAGCCCGTTTAAAATGTGTAAAAAATTTAGAAATTTAAATTAATTATTTTAATCTTTAAAACTAATTCCTCTTTAAAAAATTAAAATGTTAAGTTAATAATAAGTTTGAAATAAAAAAATTTTAAATTGAAATAAATGACATAAAATAAATATGTCTGCAGACAGAGTTATACTTTTAAAAAGCATGTTTGACGGCTAATTCGAGCCCAGTTCACCGCTCTTAGCCACCACGGCATATATGCTATTGCTCGAAAGAGGCAAGTTCCGTCATTTATAATTGGTATGCAGCACGTTTACTGTTTAAAATTTCACCAGCCATTTTAAAAAGGATCAAAAATAAATCCAAATAATTACTTCGTAACTAAATTTTTATTTCTATAAAAATACCAAATTATCTATATATATATTTCTCTTACACGGCACCAAAAAAAAGCCTCATTACAACTCCCCGAATGGCAACCTTAGAAAATCGACCAATAATTGCTGCTAAAAATGTCACATGGCAAATGTCACATGAGGTGGCTCAACATATAGCGCTTTTAAAAACGGAAACAATAACCAGAGTGAGCATTATCAGGTTGTTCAATTCAGATTCATGCCCTAAAAACATAATATTTAATTTAAACCCAATTAGGAATTAATTGGGTATAATATGAAAAAAACACAACTACTTCGATTTAGTAGGAACAACATATGACGCAATGCTAAACGAATGGAATTTAGTTGTTGTTTATTTAGTTATTGTTATTAGTAGTTGTTGTTATTTGTTTTAGTTGTTCTTGTTTATTTAGTTGTATTTAGTTTCAATAACGACCCCCAGGAATGCAATAAAATCTGGCGAGCAGCTATTTAAACGATCNTTTCTTAAAAGCCAATAAGAACATTGATAGAATTCTTCTACAAGAGTACAATACTGTGTCTTTGATGATAAAATACTATGTATTTGATGATAATACACTATGTCTTTGTGCTAGAACATTGTGTTTATTGGCGAGCGAGCGCAGCGAGCCATGGTTCACGGCGTGAACCACATAGGATTGCGTAGCAATTCTCGGGGGTTGGCGAGCGTTAGCGAGCAGGGGGGGCGGAGCCTCCTAGTTCTAAATAAATACCTTATGTTAAATAATTATTTAACACTACTCAAAATTATTACTTAAGACTATCTAACAAAATGAGTCTGAACAAATGCTTAAAGTTTACCTAATAATCTAATACGACTTCACTTAAATTATTACTCAAGACGATCTAACAAAATGAAACTGAAATACTTAAAGTATAACCAATTATGCAACACTACCTACTTAGAATAATCTAAAAAAACGAATCTCAACAAATACTTAAATTATAACTAATTATTTAACACTACATAAATTAGTACTTGTAACAATCTAACAAAATTGATCGGAACAAATACTTGTATTATAACTAATTTTTTAACACTACTTAAATTAGTACTTACAACAATCTGACAAAATTTATCTGAACAAATACTTGAATTATAACTAATTATTTAACACTACTTACGACAATCTACAACAAAATTAATCTAAATAAATACTTAATGAATAACTAATTATTTAACACTACTTAAATAAGAAATAATTAGGTAATTAAAATATTAAGCCTTAATAGTCACTAAAAATATTTTATTTAAACAGAATTTTGAATGGGTCTTCATAAAATGTTCCAGAAATAGAATTATATGTTAAAAAAATAATAAAAAAATAAAATAAAAAAAACCTTATTAATGTTAAAAAACTGACTGTTTAAATATTTAGGAAAAAAGAGGTTGTTGAGAGTTGTTTTAATTTTTAAGAAAAATACTTAATTAAAAAGATAGCAATGTGTCTACATAATTCCAGTATAACATTTTACAATACAAAAATTAAGTGTAAAAATACTTTTGTTGATAGTAAATACAGAATACTTCAGAATTAATTTGAAAGAATAATAAGGTAATTAGAATATTAAACTGAAATAGTCAAGAAAAATATTTAATTTAACGGAATTCTGAATATGTGAATCTACCATGCTTACATTTAATATTTAAATTATACTACAATTGTGAATAAGAAATTAAAAATGACGTTCTTAACCGAATTCTCGTGAAAATAAAAACTAAATTATTTAGTTTCTTACGTCAAGAAAAATATTTAAGTTAAACAAAATTAACTATGTTTTTCCATAACATGTTGATTCTAAAACATGTGTAAGTACCAAATTTATGGAATTAGTATTTTAAGAAAAATAAGGCAATTCGAAACAGAAAATAGGAGTAATAAAATCATACATGAATCATAAAATATACTTTTGTCATCGATTTACATCGATAATCATACCGTAAATTTACATCCATATCATCTTTTCTGTATCATATTCGCGGTGATTTCGGGAAAATATATTTTTATAATGAAAATTTAATTAATATTTAAAAAATAAATCTGTTTATTAACATTCTTACTACTTATCAAAATAGCAGTTAATTAAGAGACGAAATATAATGGCAACATTTTAGGTTTCAGTTCTATACCTTAATTTGATTTAGTTATAAAATACATCCAAAAACGAAAATTTATTTTCTTTTAAAAAAACTCTTAATTTTGCATTTATATAAAAAAATTTAATGAAGTTTATAAATTGATTTGATTTCGTAACCTATACATTTAAAACGTAAGTCATTATTGTATAATCTTTTCGAATCCAGAGTTATATATCGAATAACCTTAATTTACTTTTCTAAATTAGAAAATCTTTTAAATATCTAGAATATTCTTTTTAACATATATATTTAGAAGAACAAAGAACAAAAGAAATTTGGAAAAAAACTGTTGTCTAAAAATTTCATATTGCAGTTAATGTTTTAAATATATTACAAAACATTTCCAGATTATAGAATAATAATTTTTAAAAAAAACATTTTCGTATTCTAAAATTTAGAAAATCTTTTAAATTGTGAAAAAATCATCCTAAAATTCTTCTCTAACCGAGTAGATAAAAAGAAAACTTATTTGAAACATCAATTCAAACCACGTGTTCACAGTAAATAAATTGCAGAGATACGAGTGAAAAACATCACACATTAAATGATTACTTACAAGGCATGTCACAGGCTTTAGCGATTTCATTCCACTTTTGCGCAACGACTTCTCTGTAATAATAATTTGTTGATTTTTGATTCCAAAGTGCAGGTCTTGCATGGACTTCTCGGATTAACTGTTCAATATCCATAATGAGAATTGTATCGTCTGCCTTTCATGAAGATAATAAAAATCGTTTGGCAGTTGAGAAAGCGAATAATGAAAATATCCGGCTAAACTTTCACAACCGGTTTAGACCAGAAACGTTTCCGCTCCGCTCGGCACCGCTTTTAAAAACCTGCCTTTTTACAGAGGTTGAAAGACGGTAGTCTCCGTTTCGGTACTGAACTATTTTAAGCCTACTTATGTTCTCAGCAAAATCATAAAAGAAAAGAAAAACTTATTTTGTGTATAATTGAAACTATTTTCTGATTTCCGATTTCAATAATTTTTTTTTTTTGTTATTGAATAAAATAAGACATTCTGAAGTTTTTTTTTTTTTGGTTCTTTTTAAGTCAATCACTACCGCATTTTGAGAAACTTCTTGGTGTTTTTGCTGACATGTTTGTAAATAAAAAAATATAATAAAAGCACAAGAAAATAAACTATAATTCCTTAAAATTTTTTATTTATTTAAATATTTTTTTTTAGTTATTTTCAAAAATTTTGGAACCAGAGTGACCCCTATACCACTCACTTATATTAATAGAAATTGAATGCATTTTACATGTTAGTTAGACTATTGTGAAACCTTGTGCAAGAAGATTCCAAAAAAATGGCACTGTAAATTAGCGGAAACAAATATATAATATTCTACATATTTTAATATTAAAAAAATTTAGGCTTGAAAAACATGAGAAAAACTTAACTTTTGTTTCTATGACTTTAGAAAGCTAAACTTTGTATTCTAATTTTAATCAGGAACATTGAGATATCCTCGTTTCATTAATTTAAAAGTGTTTTTCTTTTTATGTCAGATGAACATAAATATCCTTTCTTCAGAACTTGATTTTATAGAAAACAGTCACAAAAGCTTTTAAATGTACTGTAAAAAGAAAAAAAATTGAAAAATTGTATGACCAGATTCGTTCACAGTGAAAAACTTGAAGATAAACAAATCACTCAACAAAACAAAGGTTTACAAAAACTCCAAGGGTTGCAAACTACAGCATTTTTAAATCACCCAAAAAATCAAATCATATTTATTTCAGTTTCTATGGTTACACTAAATTTATATGAATAATACAAGTACAATTCGACGTTTTTACCTATTTTCAAAAAATGCTATTAGCATATTCCATACAAATTTCATAGTTTTCAATTTTTTATTACAGAAAGGGATGATATTTTAAAAATTTAAACAGGTGTGTTAATATATTAGAATTTTTCTATAAAAAGTATTTTGAAAACCATTACTTTTTCTTAAATTTAGAATTTTTGAATTAGAGAATTAAAAACTTCCCATTTCTAAAGGAGGCACAAAATTATAAACCAGGCCTAAGTAGTAAGTACTACATACCTAAGTAAAGGCCTAAGTACACCTCAGTCCGGACCTCGCTTCACCCTCACAAACCCATAACCCTAAATGATTTTGCATTTTAATCAAGACCTGTTTCGAACCATTAACTGATTACATATCAAAATTAAAAAATTCTTGAGTGAAAAGGACTCAAAATTTTATTGATAGCAAATTTAAACATCATCATTTTGCTCAGTTATCAACTTCATTTTTTTCTTTTTTTTGAAATTCTTATTTAATTTTTGATAACTTAAAAAATTTATTTAATGATTTTTATCAAAACAATAATATTTAACAATAGTGCGAAAAAGTTAATTCCAAATGATTTTTCACAATTTCATATTCATTATTTTAATTTTTTATACTAAATGCCTACACAAGTATGATTTAGAATTATACTCGATAAGTACAAATAAATATAGCGTATTTACTATTCAATAACTTTTATTTTATTTTATAACCATCGCTGAGCAGCCGACCCAATTTCGAATGTACGACTACCAACAATTCAGAAGACAAGGGAACTTCTGGATAAAGCATTAACAGAAATTCAACCATTTTGGAAGACTTTTTGATGGAACTAACCAGCATTTGTGTTACTATGAGAGGAAAACCACGAAGATCCCCCACAATTATCCCGACTGCAAGGAGACTTTAACCCATGATCCGTCTACCACTGAGGTTGTTTTACGTCAGCACTGTGGCTGGCGCGAGCTGGTTGCGGAATTTGTATCAACCAGCCATTGCTGGGATTTGAACCCGGTTCACCTCATTGGAAGACGAACACTCTATCTCTTGAGTCACCATGACTTAAGCTATCAATTTCTGCAGGGTTGAGAAAATAAGAAGAAAACCACTTATACTATAAAACAATCCTGTAACTATTCAATAATTGCAATATAATTATTCAATAATTGTATAACTTTTCAATGATTACAAAAAGTAAGTTTAGATACCAATTCAAATATTTTTAATCATAAAAGTTTGCAAAATAAAGTAATATTGTAACCTTATTTCACCGTTATGATCCCAAGAAACCGTTTAGATCTTAATACTTGAAAATTTTCTTTATATACACTTAAATCTCAACCTTTAACAATGTCCAATAAAATTAACAATGATAGGATATTATAATAATGGATCTTGATTGTTTTCATCTCATTAATAATCTAGTTTCTAAAGCTCATCGTAAACTGGGTTTTATAAAACTAAAAAATCTAAGACTTCATAAATGAACAAACCTTAAAAATTCTTTATTTTACTTTTATTCGTTTTATCTTGGGACATTGCAGTATTATTTGGAGTCCCAACTACAATGATATAAGTATCGACAGAGTTTTTTATTTTATTATAAAACAACTAAGACTTATCCTCGCGGCACTGTGAAATATATTTGATGTTTCATCATCATATGGCTACTTTATTATTTTTTCTATAAAATTCTTACGCTAATAACATTTAAAATCTGATTCAGTTTTCCATAAAATATCACAACATACGAAATAAATAAAAAAACATTATTGATCTCATTGTGTAAATTATCTAAAAAAAATCTTTATAACAACTTTATAACAATTTTTTTAACAACATTTTTAACGAGTTAGCTAAAAAAACATTGATATTTTTAACACATCTCTTACTGTTTTTTTAAGAAACTATGTTATGTTCAAATGTTTTAGTATTGCAATGTCATTAGTTGTTACCACTGTTCGTGTTCGTTAGTTACTACCACTGTAACTAGACTTTATTTTTTATCTGTAGTGTGTGTTTCGTGTTAATATAAAATATATAAAAAAATCATAAGATTACTTTAGACCAGGGATCGCCAAACTTTTTTGATTATCGACCCCTATATAATTTTTCGAAATCTTCATCGACACAAGAGTAATTTTCTGTTAATTAAAATAAAACTCTATTAGATACTGTGTTTGTACATTTATTTAATGATTTTAAACATTTATTAAACTAATAGTACATTGTGTAACAATAATTTTATGAAAAATATATTAATATTGAAATTTAAATACCTTATTATTAAATAATAAGTAATTATGCATAAGTAGATATAATAGTGTGCCTGGTGTTTTTTTGCAAGGTTCGCTATATTGGGTTCAAAATTGGTCAATTTTAATTTTCGTCAAAATTGGTCAATTTTGTAATTTTCGTAAAAAAATACAAAG